AATTATTTTAGCTATACTTAAAATTAGGTACATTAAACTTTATAACATTTTTTACAGATTATTTCTATCGCAAATACAAATAAAGTTATAATTTTTTTAAAGCGCACACGAACTTTATGGACACCCTGTATATATCAGTCTTGTTTGTTTTCTTTTCATCTTCGGTTGGACTTAATTCAAGTCCGCCATTTTCTTGTAGTTGGGCCTTCTAGCAGGAAATTAGACGCGCCTGTTTCTAATTCAACAACACTCAAACCCACACGGTCCTCTGCATGCCTCTCGGCTCATTATTTTCAAACTTGTATATGGCCCACTTAGAAAACAAAAATATTCAATAAAATAATTCAACACACCATTTTTGCGAGGTTATCAAACATGAAAGGACGCAATTGTTAGTGAGAGAAAATATATCCTTACTAGCCTGGCAACGGAAGTGTTAACTTCAGCAACTATCAATCTTAATCGATAATTTCCCCTGACATAAATTGCATCGATTATGTCGAATCAATTGCCAGGTCTGCTGCAAGGAAATTTGATTCAATGTATTGTGATAAACAATTTTTCTCGTCAGAATCTTTCTTGGGCCTTTATTAAGCAATCACACATGAAATGACACATTTTAGTTATTAGGCAATTACACATGAAATGACACATTTTTGTTATTAGGTAATCACACATGAAATGACACATTTTAGTTATTAGGTAATCACACATGAAATGACACATTTTAGTTATTAGACAATCACACATGAAATGACACATTTTAGTTATTAGGCAATCACACTTGAAATGATGCATTTTAGTTATTAGGCAAACACACATTAAATGATACATTTTAGTTATTAGGCAATCACACAAAAAATGACACATTTTAGTTATTAGGTAATCACACATGAAATGACACATTTTAGTTATTAAGCAATCACACATAAGATTATGCTTTTTAAATTATTACTTAGTTGCAATGGCACATTTTTAGTTATAAGGTAGTCACACAAGAAATCTGTCATTTTTTAGTTATTAGGTTATTATATTCACATGAAATGACTCATTTTTTGGTTGATTGTTGATTCGGTCTAATGAAGTAACCTCTTTAGCATATAAAAAAATATCTTGACTTATTCCTGACTCTTTTTCTTTCCAGATAGGTTTCCTTTCAATAAATTGTTACTCATAAGCCCAATAAAATGATTACAATGAAACAATGCCGAGTAATCTTAATGCATGAATACAAACTGGGATAAAGAATCATTTTTGTATCAAATCATTAAATGCGATGAGAAATGGATACTTTTTTTTACAACAGTAAGAGAGTGGTTAGATGCAAGTGAATCACTAATGCATACCCAAAACCTCCACTGTTAATGGATACTGTATGGTGGTCTTTCAAAGGGGTTATTCATTATTCATCCTTGTCTCAAGAAAAAACAATAACAGCAACATCGTGTTGTGGAGAAACTGCGGGTATGCCCGAAAATTTGAAACAGAAACATCCCAATCTTGTGAATAGGGAGAACCCAATTTTGCTGCAGGACAACGCCCGGCTGAACGCTTCTCAATCAACTGTCAAAAAGCTGCATAACCCCAATTATGAGAATTTGTCTCATCCTTCATATTCATCTCATATCTCTCCTGCTGATTATCACTTATTTAGGCATTTCGAGCTTTTTATACGCAATAAGACATTCTCCAATAGGGAAGATGTAATCGAAACATTTGAACTGTTTATCACATCAAATGATGAGATTTTTTTTTAAAGATGGGATCAAGAATTTAGAGGTACGTTGGAGAACAGTCATTCATCAATATGGTGCCTATTTCAACTGATATAAATTAATTATTTAACATTTCAGAAACGTTTTATTCATTTCCTATAAAGTGTGTTATTTCATGTGATCATCTAATAATTTAACTGAAGACCAATATAACCAAACAATAGAAACACTATGATTCTTTTTCTTTCTAGATAATTTTTCTTTCAATATATAAGCCCAATAAAAATGATTAAAATGAAACAATGTCGAGTAATCTTACTGTATGAGTACAAACTGGAAAAAAGCACCAATTTTGCATTGAATCATTACATGCGATGAGAAATGGATACTTTTTGACCACAGTAACAGAGTAGGTTAGACGCAAGTGAATCACCAAAACAATATCCAAAACCTCCACTGCACCATAAAAAAGTTAATGGTTACAGTATGGTGGTCTTTCAAAGGGGTTATTCATTATTCATTCTTTCTCTCAAAGGAAAATTATAATAACAACCTTGTATTGTGGAGAAATTGTGTGTACATGAAAAACTGAAAATGAAACACCCTAAATGTTTGAATAGGGATGGCCGAATTTTGTTGCATGACAACGCACGCCTTCACGCTTCTCAATCAACTGTCCCAAAGCTGCATAACCTGATTTATGAGAATTTGCCTCATCCTCCATATTCACCTGATATCTATGCTACTGATGATCACTTATTTAATTTGTTGGGTGTTGTGTTATTTTGTACCAGTAATGATATTTCTTTTCCGTTCCTACTGACCTAAGGAAGTTTGTAATTATAATTGATAGAGCCTCGGAATAATAAATTGGATTGCTGTGTTTGAATTCCAGTCGAGATCGTTACATTTACTGACCCATAAATATCATTGGACTTAATAGTAGCACTTGTATCATTAAAAATAACTTCTATCACCCATATCCCCCGCAAAAAAAGGAAGAAGATTCGTTTTCTTCGGTTTATTACTCCTTTGTTGGTTATTTAAAACCAGATTGTAAGCATGGGGGGGTGAGATAATAATGGTTTAGTGATAAAATTCTTACTAATTAACCCATAGCTGGGGGAGAAGAGGTGGGTTCACACATT